TTTAAAGTGTGGTCTCACTTATGCATTGCACATTGATTGTAAATATCAGCATTTTCTAAGGTGTAAACTCCTGTCAAAATGCCTAAAAGCAAAACAAGACAAAGATCGATATCAGTGATTTTTGGGTACCACAAGGACTCTGCAAATCGCGTAGAACAACTTGTGCAGGAAACAAGAGTGGAAAGAAGTTATAATGCCTCCTTTGTCTAATTTCAACTTAATACAAGTAAGACCTGAAACAAGAAGCACAATGTGTTATTGCCTAATCTGCTGCTATGGTTGTTCAAAGCTGCAAGAAAACCAAATGCATGTTGCAGCACATACCTCTGTCCTTTAAAAATAGTTTGCCTCACCAATGCTCTCAAATAACGCTCAGGGAAAACTTTTAATTTTTAGAAGCAAAAGATGCCAGAGCAGCCAAACAAATTACAATTACTCCAAGTAAATCTTTATAATTAAATAATTTTTACAAATATTTTAAAGAAAATCTTTAAAAAAATAGTCAATATAGGTTTCAGGAAGTATTTTTTTAACAAGTTTCTAATTATTTTAAAAACGAATAATTTGAAAGTTTTAAACAAACTTTCTGAACAAAGTTTAATATAAAGATAAAATATGTATGTTTTGGTTTCAGGTCTAAGTAGTGCCCAGCCACTATCAAGTGTTCCAAAATTGACCACTCTAGCTCTTGTAAATGTACAATTAAATACATGACTATTAGATTTTTATAAGAATTTCATAAGAGCAAATCAACAGTTGATTGATTCACCTGAAGTGATTTAAAAGTTTCAGACAGAAAAGGAAATTCTGGCACAGTTTGGGTTGTTGCTCACTGTAACAATTTATCTAAACTTATGAACCATATTACTCAATCTTGCAAAATTTCTGGTGGATATCTTGTTAAGCTCAGAATTGATGGTGGTAAAGACTTTCTCAAGTTTTGCCTTAGCATTGTTGATACTGTGTTAAGTGTTGATACTAACTCACAGTCTCAAAAACAACCTTACACTCAAAGGACTGGCAAAGACACTGGAGTTAAGGACAAATTCTTGTTGCAGTACCAGAAGATTTGCCAGAAACTCACTCCAACATTGAACAAATATGGTTACTGATTAATGCAAATAGAGTTAAACTAATTTTGACTTGCAATAAAAACGATATATTCAAAAGTTTTTATTTTGCTGTAAAAGCTTGCTTTGGATTTATCTTTCAACTGGGTTTTGCTGAAATAATTGAAAAAAGGACTTAATGATAACTGGAACAAGCATTTAAAAACATTGAAGAGTATTTGACTAAAAGAGTATATTGAGTTATTTTGAATAAATTTCTTGTGCAGAAAAAATCAAAGACCATGTCTTAAAATTTAATTAGATATTTGATGGTAATATAATGTAAAAAAAAGTTTTTATATAACTATTTTTTTACTTCATTTCGAATGTCAGTGTATTTAAGAAGGCTTCAAAGGCCAATAAAAATTCTTTTAAACTTTTTGAAGGATTTTTTTTTGTTTAACTAACTGATAGTCCTTTTGCCAGGTTTTGCACTTTTTTAAGCACATATATAATATAATATAATATAATATATATATATATATATATATATATATATATAATATATATATATATATATATATATATATATATATATATATATATATATATCTATATCTATATCTATATCTATATCTATATCTATATCTATATATCTATATCTATATATATATATATATATATATATATATATATATATATATATATATATATATATATATATATATATATATATATATATATATATATATATATAAATTGTTTTATATAAATATAACTTTAAAATGTATTCAATAAATAAATCAATTCAATAATAATTATATAAGTTAATAGCAAATAATAATAATAAAAAAAATAAACAAACAAGAAAAGTAAAAGTTATTAACATTATGTAACACAAATTTTGTCCAAGGTTTAAAAGCGCCATTCAATTGCTTCTAAAATCTGTAAAAAAACAACTAAACTTTAATTTGATGACCGCAGCATATGCCAATTTTTGAAATTTTAGTAGAATTTAGGAAGATTCACACATATGCCAATGTTTGCTAATTTTTTGGCTCACTTATGCCAATTTGCATTTACGCAAATTTGCATATATACCGATTTGCACTTATGCTAATTTTTTTGGTGCATATATGCAATTTTGCACTAATGCCAGTTTGTACTTATGCCAGTTTTACAACTGCTTTTCACTTACAATAGTTCGTACTTATGCCAATGTTTGCAAATTATTTTAATGCACCTATGCCAATTTATATTTATGAAATTCACACTTATTTAGTTGTCTGGATTTGTGAGTGTACTTTAAATCATTTTCAGAAAGTAACCCAAAAATATTTTTGTCTTCAACAACAATGTTTATATATATATATATATATATATATATATATATATATATATATATATATATATATATATATATATATATATATATATATATATATATATATATATATATATAATATATATATATATATATATATATATATATATATATATATATATATATATATATCTTCAATTCAAAGTCCAACATATCTTGATGAAAACACTCGCCTAGTCTTGAGCAGTTTCTGAAAAAAAACTGCTTGATGTAGCCTAACTTCTTGTGCACAGTTACAAATTTCTTGCAGAAACCAAGCCCTCACAAAGGACCTGGTTTCTGTGCAAAAAATGTAACTGTACAAGAGGCAAATCATTGAAATTCTACAAGATCTAAGCACTAAGAAGTTATTCAACAAGAATTCTCTTATTTGCATGTGAAATACAGTGCTCAGAACATGTTCTGATCTCTGGCAGGCATGCATAAGTATGCCTTTTAGGTCTCAGATATTTTAGGACTTGCTCACATGGAACAATTTTTTGATAGCTTTTTTTATAGTCTACATAAAAAAAAAAAAAAATATGCAAACAATCTCTTGATGTCATTCAAATTAAATAATTGATCTTCAAATTATTTTTCTTTTATCAACAGAAATATTGGTTCAAGTCACCAGTGCTTCTATACTTGTATGAACTTTTGATAGTTCATAAGATTTTAAAAAGTTCTGATAGTTCCTAAGGTTTCTTGAAAGTTCTAAAATACTCTGAAAAATAGGGGTGGAAGTTAATGGAGGTGGAGGTTAGTTCTAGTCTAATTTAAATTAGTCAACTAACTTTTTAGTTAACTAAAATTACCTGAGTAACTTTTTAGTCTAACTAAAATTAGTCGATTAATGTTCTAGGTAACTATAATTAGTCAACTAACTTTTTAGTTAACTAAAATTACCTGAGTAACTTTTTAGTCCAACTAAAATTAGTCGATTAATGTTCTAGCTAACTATAATTAGTCAACTAACTTTTTAGTTAACTCAAATAAGTTGACTAAATATTTAGTGTAACTAAATTTAGTTGACAAAAGCAAGATTTAATGCTTGAAAATATATATATTTGATGACAACTGAGGGGTTTTTTTAAAAAACTTTTTTATCATTCGCTTTTTTTGGTAGTTTTGCCCCCCTCGTCCACCAAAATGTCATGTCATGGCTCATAAATTTATGCAGATCACTACCAAAAAAAAACTTTAATTTAATGTTTTCAAATCATTTTTAATGTTTAAATTAAATCATTAAACAACTTAAATTAAACATTATCAGTAACAAAATATTTAACTAATATATGCTTTAATCAATTTAGAATTTCATTTTGTTAACTTTAATACAGTATATTTTACATATTTATTTCAGATAAAAATTACTGGCCTCTTTTTTAAGCGGTTACCTATTAGGGGAACTGCTTAGTTTCCCTAATAGGCAATACGCCACTGTACCAAATACATATTTAGTTAATATTATGTTTAACAATTTTTAAAAGAAAAAAAGAGAATAATTTAACAAGATATATATTTAATTAAACAATATAAATATAATAAAAAAATTTAACTGCCTAATTTTTACAATCTAATTGTTGTCACAATAATTATCTGCATTTTAAGAGTGTAGAACTAAATAATTTACAAATTGTTACATCAAAAAATTATTAGAGGTTTAAATAAAGAAAATCCAAATATGCTTACCCACAAAACATAATTTTTAAAAACATGGCACCATTTATTTTTTATATATTGGGTTCACATAATTTTTTTATAATATATAATTCATTTTAATGATAAACTGAAAATCATTTTTCCAAAAATCTAAAAAACTCTTAAAAGTAAACTTTAAATTGATGTGCCTTAGCTGTAAATTGTAACTTACAGCAATTTGTAAAGCCAAATAAATAATACTCAGCGATCTAACCTTCATCTTACTTCACAGCTAACACATAAGAAGATTTTTAAAAATTATTTTTCAAAAAGTTAGTTCGGTATTTTTAGTTAACTAAAAAGTTAGTCAACTAATTTCAACTAACTAAAAAGTTAGTTGACTAATTTCAGTTAACTAAAAAGTTAGTCGATTAATTTTAGTTAACCAAAAAAGTTAGTCGACTAATTTAAGTTAGACTAAAAAGTTAGTCTGGTAATTTTAATTAACTAAAAAATCAGTCGACTAATTTTATTTAACTAAAACGTTAGTCAACTAATTTTAGTTAGGCTAAAAAGTCAGTCAACAAGTTTTAGTTACGGTTTTTTGAGTTTAGTTACAACTTTTAGTTTTGGTCACAACACTACTGAAAAATTCCCAGACCACAAAGACAATTTCAGCAGTTCAAAAATAATTTAGATGATTGCTCAGTATTCAATATGAGTCAAGAGCTTGTTTGAAAATATAAAAGTTCCAAAAAATTGCTGTCCCAGTCACAGAAAAGTTTTTATTAACTATTTCCTATTTGTTTTCAACAAAATCGGTAAGAAAATTACACTTTAAGCCAAGAACAAACTTTCAAGCCAAACTTCAAACAAAGTTGTTAAATAGCGTAATAATTTAGACTAAAAAATTAAATAACTTCAACTAACTTGAAAAAAAAATTTACCTGGTGTGGAGATTTTATCAGAATCAACTTCTTTAATATCAAGTGAAAAGGAAGCATACTTTTCTATCAAATCATCACAGTCTTTAAAAAGAGGGCGAAGCATAACTTCTGATGAACCCAATTTCCTTATAAGATTAACAACCTGACCAGCAATAGTAACTTTTGCATTCATCAATAACTGCTCCAGCAAAATATGTGGCACTGATTGTAGATGTTTGTACTCATCAGAAAATTCGCAACTCATTAATTCAATACATTGAATACCAATTTTATTTTTTAAACATGTTAATTTCAAAACAGGAGAAAGCAATTCATGTTTTAACATGTGTTCAATTACATAAAGTAAACTTTTGGAATAATAACTTTTTGAGTCTGTTCTTTTTTGTAAAACAAGTTCACAGATAGTTAAACACATTTTTAAGTCTTTAATGTTTATTAAAACATCAAAAATAGTCAACTGGTCCGCACAGTTTTCAACTAAATAATCAAGTTTGGCTTCAATGCATTGCTAAAAATATAAATGGAAATAAAAATTATTATTTAAAAAAAATCATTTTTTGTATACAAATTCACTCCACAAAAAACTGACGGCATGCTATATATGCAGTAAAGTGAGCAGAGAAAAACATATAATGTTATCATCAGTGTCATTTTTTGTAGCAATTGTCTAATATAAACACAAATTTAATGTAAAAAATTTTAAATAAATAAATCAGTAAAAACTGCAGTGATTTTTTGTGTTGCAGAAAAAAAAAAGAAGCATGGAAATTAGACTAATGAGTTTTTCCAGGACATAAGAATCTTTAGTTTAAATTTACCCAGAAATTCGGAGCAGATTGTTAAATTAAGACACTGATGATATTTACAAATCGAAAAATAAAGTCACTATTTTTCATTACTTTTCATCAATTTTCAATAGAACACTCAAAAACAAATTAAGAATTCAATAGTAGACCCAAAAACTTAGTTGAAACAATTTTCACTAGTAAGCATTTTGTGATTTATTTAAGATTATTATATTTATTAGGTTAATATTACTGCTTGTGTGTGATGATGCTAAAAGTTTTTAAATTATATTTATTAGGTTACTTGACTTAATATCAACTTTTTCTTAAATGTGTTAACTGATGGGTTCAATAACACCAAACTTTACTTGTTAACTAATCAAATTGAAGTCATAAATTAATTGCATATTTTTGCACCCATGAAATAAAAATATTTTCTGCAAAACATCTATTTAATTTCAAAACCTTAATTGAGCAAAATTATCAATATTTACTAACAATTGAGAAAAGTATCAAAACTTTTGAAAAATATAATAGGATTTTTTTGTTTTGATTTTGTAATAGATAATAATAGCAATAATAATAAAACTGTACCCTATAAATTGTTGAGTCAGAAAGCTGTCTATTTGTTCACCATTATTTAAAAAATATTTGTTAAGTTTAACTTCAAAATCATTCAATAAAGTTAACATTAACAACAGTGTAATTCTGTTTAAAAGGAGGAGGGGGTAATTTCTGTTTAAAAGGAGGAGGGTAATTTCTGTTTAAAAGGAGGAGGGTAATTTCACCCACTCCTTAGATTTTCTTCAAATTTTAAGTAGAGGTATTTATCAATGAAGCACAAAAGAGTGAAAAAATTATGACATTTTGAAATTCTTTTTTTGAAATTGCCCTAATTTAATTAAAAATCCTAACTTGTTTCTCTGCGCAGCAGCCTTGTTTGTCTTCTTGTTTGTCAAGGTTTGTGTTTCAGAGTTATAGAGGTGAGATAGGGTTGTAGCCACAAATAAAGTTGGCTCCTCGACTGTAGTGGCATTCATGGTCTTGGCCTTAGCTCTATGGCCTTCATGGAGGTGAATTACCATAAATATAAAAAATAAAAAAATTTTGCTCAAGAATGCCGTTTTGGGTTTTGTAGTTTATGGTCTAGATAAATTTCTGTTTTTGACTGTGGGTTGTGCTTTAAGTCCCAGAATTGCTTGACTCCCATTGATTCGATTTTTTCCAATAAAAGAGAAATGCAATAAAAAAAATGCTATCCTAATATGAAATATAGTTTTGGTATATTAAAGCATAGTCACAATACACCATTTTGAATTTTGGACCAAAAATTTATTACTTGAGATCACACTCTCCATTATAGATTTTGTAAACAAACTTTTTCGCAACAATTTATGTGCTAATGGAAAAATGCCTAAAAATTGGCATCTGATCTTTGAAAAACCCAAAAAGGAAGAGAAAGTAACATAAAATTTTTCATGATCATTTTTATATTATAAAATTGTCAGACAAAATTTTTAATGGTTAAGATAAGTTACACTTTCATTTTACTTCCTGGCATTGTGAAATAATAGATGTTAGACAATCTTTATAAAAACAGTAGCTTAGGTCCCCTAAAGGATAAAGAAACATGGCCCTGCATAACTTTGAGAATTTTTTATTAATATTTTTTAATTTTAATAAATAATAATTATTATTTTTGAACATTTGAAAAGTTTCTAATATTATCCAAAAAAACGTTTTTCAAAAGTCTATCAAGTTGGGTCTCAAATGAAGTGAAAACTATATACAAATTTCAAAAATAATAATAACCTTGTGAAAAAAATATTGGAAAAAATCAATTGAAAAAAAACTTGTAAAAATGTAACATAATATATAAAATGTAATATACATAATTAAAACCTAAGATGTTTATACTGCATCCATAAAATAAAAATATTAAAAAGTTCCATAAAAAATAAAACTATCAAATAAACTATAAAAAAATTTAAAAAAATAGTTTAAGAAAAAACTGTAAAGATAAAAAACTATGATAAACTTAGCCTTATTTGCTCTATACTATATTAAAAAAGTTTTGATACTAATAATTGACTACCTAATAGAAGCATTGTGGCTGGTTATTAATGTAAGGGCATTACATTAATAACCAGTGGTTATTATATTGTTGAAAAAAAATATAATAACCACTGATATCAAAAGATCCAGCAATGCATCTAAAAAAAAAGAACAAAACAACAAAATAAATTTGACTCTTAACTTGAGAAATTTGAACTTGACTGGAATTGTATCCTGAGTCAGAATTTATTCAAAACAAACAACACTGAGGCAAAATGATTAGTTGTTATCAAACTTACACAGAAACATCATCACACCAAAATTTTTCTTGGCATTAAAACATTATAAGCTAGAGAAAATGTCTTCAAAAGATATCTCCAGCTTGTTGGTTTAATGCTTCTCAAAAGATGCAGATTTTAAATCTTTATAACACAGTTGAATTTACATTCAAAATGGAGGAGCAAAACTTCTTTAAAGTGCAAAAAACTTGTGAACATCTGTTATAATCTTTGTAAACATCTTTTACTATCTTGCTAATCACTGAGAGAAATTTAACTGAGATCAATGAGAACCACTGAAAGATTTCACTGAGATCAATGAGAATCACTGAGAGAAATTTCACTGGAAAAAAACAGCAGCAATTAAATTTGTTTAAAATTTTTAAATAACTGAAATGCCAGGATGAAAAAGTCATGAAACAGCTTGCCAGATAATGTAGTCTACTTTCTGTCTATCAACAGCTTCAAAGTTTCTGTGAAAGGTAACTGTGGGGTTTTTCAACATTTCTCTATTAGAAAAATTATCTAAAATGGCAGCATACACACAGAATGCATTGGTAAAACAGTTTCCATCATTTTGCTAATAAAAGAGTGTTTACAAAGAATGTCTAAGGCTGATGCACTTCTGAGAAACTGTGCATAATAATATTTACTTTGGTAAGAATATAAAATTTATGTCATACTTTTTTTGTACTTAATTTTTGTGGAGGAATATTTGTTGTTAGTACTTACATGTTATCAGCATTGTTTCATTAAGTTAAGACAATTTGCGATATCAACCTAACCTATAAAGCAAGCAATGAAAATATATTTTTTTAAAAACTATCTTCTGGGAAGCAGGACTGCATACACGACACACACGAGGCACTACCCTATATGCATTGTACGATAAATATTGATGATGATTATAAATTACAACAACTGCAATTATATGGTATGCAAAATAGTTTTTTTTTAATAATATCAATTGTTATACTTTTCTATAAAAAATGGAATGATTGATATTAACTTCAAATTTTATAAATTGTTGTTTTGATCCTTTTGTTTCTTACTTAACTATTGTTATAGTTGTCTTTGTAACCAAGATGGTCCAAAAATATAATCATGTACAAATAGACCATTTACAGAAAATTATTTTTTCAGTAAGACAGAATAAAAAGATTTAATATATAACAAATAACTATAAAATAAACAAGAAAATTTATAAATAAGTAGTGCAGGAAAAAAAATTTATAAATTTTACCAATGAACAAGAGCAAGAATTAGCTAAACACCTAATTTTTCTAGTTTGTTGGGAATCAGTGAACTCTAAAGTTTTTGATTGTCGGATGTTTGAACTTTCAGAAACAACCGTCTATTTCCTAAGATGGATTCTATAACAAATCTAGAGTCTGAAACATAAAACTCTTTCAAAAACAAGAGATATCCTAGAAATAAATCCACAATTAAATACTTTAGACTGGATGAAAATATAAATTTTTTTCTTGTAGGTAATCAAATCATTTTCAATAGATAAGTGTTTTTCAATATCTTCAAATTTTAAATTATCAATTATTTTATACTTATTTTATTTGATACCTCCTTTTGAAGAAGATAAAGTTTTTCTCTTTGTTGGAGGTGGATAAAATAAAAACTTTTAGAGATATTGAGAAACACTGATGGAGGATGAATCAGCCTTAATTTACCAGGACATAAAGTAAACTCAGCATCATCTGGCCAACACAATTTACAAACAACACTATATCTTGTTACAGTCCAGTGTGAGTGAGGGATACTTACAAACCACTTGTTTTTTTAGACACTTAATGTTGAAATTTGTATACAGATATATTACAATCTGAATCATAATTTAAGCAACAGTTTGGTACACAACATTTTAAAGGCATCACAAATTATTTAATTTAAATTTCTTTGAAAACAACAACCAATATTTACATGCATATTTTATGTATGTATGTATGTATGTATGTATGTATGTATGTATGTATGTATGTATGTATGTATGTATGTATGTATGTATGTATGTATGTATGTATGTATGTATGTATGTGTGTATGTATGTATGTATGTATGTATGTATGTATGTGTGTATGTATGTATGTATGTATGTATATATGTATGCTTGTATGTGTAAATGTATTGAAATGTCTAGCAATAGTTAATACAAACAATTTTAGTTTTTTGATTATTGAAGAAGCCAAATGCTACAGCAAAACCATAATAATCTGATAACCTAAATTTTATTATATTATTCATAAATACCCTTTATGATTAAAGGAGGTGTAAACTAAGGAAAATTCATGAACCTAATAGCAAGTTTGTTGTATATTAGTTTTATCTAGCAGTATCATACACAAACATAATTTAACAAAATAACTTTTGACAGTGTCCAAACATTTCTTCAGCAGACCTTAAAATCAGGTCTTTGATTTGGTTAACTGTAGTAGTGGTAGAGTGCTAGCTTCATAAGAAAGAAGTTCCAAGTTCAATTCCACCACCTCCCTAGTAGTACCACATTTATCTTGTCTCTTCGCACAGTGGCTTTGTTCATCAACATTTTTGTTTCAGAACTAAAAGTTGTGAGAGGGTTGTAACCACAATAAAAAAGACTCCTTAACTCTAATTGTTATCTTAACCTTAGGGAGGTGAACAACAAAAAAAAATCAATCATATGTTAATTTACAGTTTCTTCTTACAAAAAGTTGATGCAATAAATTATAAATATGACTGCAGTTTTTATACTGTGCTGCCTAACCATAAGAAAATTAATGAATTTTTGTAATTATTGGCAAAAGATTAATTTTTTTAAGATAAATGTTTTTATGCATAACTTTATGGATAAATTTAACATTATGGATTATATAATCTGTAAAAAGGTTCCTTTAAAATCTCTTTCATGAAATAGATGACAAATGGATGAAAGAAACACTGCTTTTTGCATAAATATTAATTCTGTATCTTGCTTTGTACTAAAAAAGCGTAATTCTCTGCAGGAAAATTGTCTTATCAAGAAAAAGTCTCTGAGATGCTTTAGATGGCTTGATTGTGTGATAAATTAAAAGTCGCTTTATCAAGCCTTTTATGCAGTCCTATGAATTCATTTTAAGGAAGATTGATTTTTAATAGCTCAATTCAATTTATTGTTGACCAATCTTTAAAATCACTTTCATCACTTTCAATCAGCAAAACAATTCTCCAGAAAACAGGTGTTTGTTTATTACAGGTAGGAACCATTGTAAAAAGGTTTTATCTAACGCCATAACCCGCTATTCTCAGGTCATGAAATCTCGTATTTCATATCTTGTGACTTCTGGAAAATCTTTAATAGCATCAATAATAAGTGCAAGTCTATAATTCCACCTCTTGTGTATGGCTTAGAATTTGTCACCTCACCTAAAGGCAAAGCTGAATTATTTGCTAGAACAATTTTATTTGGTTCTCACGCTATATAAAAAAAACATTCTTTTGTTTTTCCTTTCTATAAGATTTCAGTCATACAACTGATATCATCTTGAATTTTATCTCATTCTATTCTAATTTTTTTATTGATTTATTTCTACATAATAGGTGGTTCTACATAATATTACTACATAATAATAAATCTGGTGGACAAATTTTTTCACCTGATACTACAAATTTGCCTTCACTGCATAAAAACTTTATCTGTATCTAAATTGATTTTACAAAGGCTAATTAATGGGTATTAAGTGGGTTGCAGCACCATGTTAAATAAGTTGCATAGTACTTCAAATAAACATGATTATAATAAAGACAAATTTGAAAAAAAATCATTGTTCAGTTTTTCAAATTAATAATTTCTTGGTGTAGAATTAATTTGTATTATATTTTTATTTATTTATTTATTTTTTAAAAATCTTTGCTTCCAACTAGGCTGCAAGCAACCACTAATTAGAGTTGGAAGTTACTGGAATAAAAAAGATTGTAGAGCAAAATAACGATTGAAGATTGTAGAGCAAAATAACGATTGACAAACAACTTAAAAGATTGCAAATTATATGAATCAGGAAAGCAAGATGAAGGAAGCAAATTCCAAAGAATTGATGTTCGAGGAAAAAAACTAGACGAGTAAGAGTTTTTGGAGCACTTAGGAACAGTAACAGAAAAAGGATGAGACTTGATCAAATGACGAGTAAAACAAGAATGAATTTTAGTAGATGGCACAAGAGACGCTAGCTCTTTAGAGCAGTGCCCATCATAGTATTTGAAGAAAAGAGAAAGAGAAGCAACATTATGACGATGTGATAATGGTTGAAAGTTGGCTGCAAGAGCAAGTCCATCTGTATTTACAATGTGTTTTTGCACCTTGTCTAAAAGAGAAAGAGCATCATTAGAAAATCAGCCCCATATATGGCAACAGTATTCCATACAAGGACAGATTTGAGATTTATAGAGATAGAGAATAGAATCCAGAGTAAGAAAGTGTCAAGCTCGATAAAGAGATGCAACTTTAGCAGATGTAAATTTTGTAACGAATTTGATATACAGTTTTTAAGAAAGATCAGAAGTAAGAGTTAATCCAAGAAGATAAAGGGTAGACTCATCGAGTAAATTACTGTTCATAAATATAGGAAGGTCTAAACTATTGCGATAACGATTGGCTAAAAGAAATTGAGTTTTATCTGAATTAAAGTTCACCAGCCACTGTGAGCCCCATGTTGTAGCAGAAGTGAGATCCTTTTCAAGCTCAAACGCCCCCTCCAAGCAATCAGAGAGAGTTGGCTTCTTATCATGAAAAGAATAAAGATCAGTGAACAAGGCCACCTCAGATTTTTATTTTTTGTTTTATTATTCACCTTCTCAAGGCCGAGAAGGCCACTAGAGATGAGGAGGCTACTTAATAGTGGTTATAACCCTCTCTCAACTCTATAACTCCAAAACACGGACTTTGACAAACAAAGCCGCTGCTCGGAGAAACAAGTTGAGCGCGGTACTACTAGGGGCATGGTGGGGATCGAACTTAGATGAGATCTTAGATGAGAGAATTAGAGAGACCTTAGATGAACCTTAGATGAGAGAATATCTGGAAGACCATTAATGTAAATTAAAAAGAGTATAGGGCCAAGGATTGAACCTTGAGGAACTATTGAGGTTAAAGAATAAGAAGAAGAGTGCTGTCCATCAAGGACAACTTTTATACTATGATTGGAAAGGAAGGATTCAATAATCTTAAAGATGTTTCCAGATACACCGTAATAAAAAAGCTTATGGAGAAGACCAGCATGCCAAACTTTATCAAAAGCTTTAAAAATCTCAAGAGCGAGAGCATTAACTCATCTCTCCACCTGCTTAACCTCTATCACCTCTATTTAATGCTTAATAAAACCTAGCGGTTATTACTGTTAGCAAATCAGTCATAAAACGAGAAGATCGAAATCCATATTGATGATCAGAAAGTAAGTTATTAGATTCAAGATGAGAGATTGAGTATTTGTTAATTAAAAATTCAAAAATCTTGCTTATGATAGGAAGAAGACTAACAGGACGATAGTTAGACGAATCAATATTATATTATGTAAAAAATTCATTGAATATCAAATTTAAATAAAATTACAGAGTTTTACTTGTTAGTTGTCACATTTAATTATATGTATACCTCAGAGATCATCTAGTTTAATTATATGTATACCTCAGAGATCATCTAGTTCACATTTAAATAACCCAGGAAAATCTGGAGTAACCTTGAGTTTATTTGTCTTAATTTAACTTACAGCTTTCCCAAATTTTTTGAAACTTTTTTTTTTAGGTTAATGACTTAATAAGTTTAAAAACATATATACTTCAAAAATATTAAAACTTGTATCAATGGAAGACTTTTCAGAAATCTGGAAAAACTTTTTTTCCTTTATTTTCCAAATTTTGTATTATATCTGGAAAAAGGTAATCCCTGATATTTTAAGTATGCATACCTTAATATTATAATAATTTAGAGATTTTATACAACATCACAAAATTATATTTAGACTAATAACTTTAATAATGAAATTTTTTTTATGAAATCTAAATTTTTAAGCTTGCAATACACTGCAACATTTATTAGCAAAATTACATTTAAACTTTTAAATATTTCTATATTTTATTTGATATTTGAATATCATCTCTTTATTTACATAAAAAGTTATTTTCATTTTTGGATTCAGGATTCAAAAATGGCCAGGCAACAATTTTAGATTATTTTTTTCCACTAGAACTTAAATTATTCTTGTAAAAGTACTGCTATAAGATTTATAATGAAAAATGAAAACCAAATGAGATGTAAAACCAAATGAGATGTAAACCAAATGAGATGAAAACCAAATGAGAATTTTTAACCTGTATAATATCAAAAAATGATCATCAAACTCCACCATACATGATGGCAAACTTAGGTAAAATAATTTTAGGCTAAATTTTAGTTCTTGAACCTAAAAGAGTTAAGAGCTTATATTGTATTTTTCGTGTTTTATTAATAGGTACTAATGGTTAAAATTTAAAGAAAATCTCAGCGATGGAAAATTTTAATTTTGTAACCAGGTGGAAAACTTTAATTTTTTGTTCTATTATTACTCAAAATTATGCAAGACCAGAACATAGTTAAATCCAATAAAAAAAAAAACTCTGCTTTTAAAAAATTATATTATATTTTATTTGATAACCTCTCGCTAGTTGATAACTTTCTTAATTATATGCACATTTTTAATTCCTTTGAATATCTTATACAATTGAATCAAATCTGTCTTAAGTAGGTAGGCCCAAAATATCTGATATTTTCTCATATCATAGATTTTTTAGTGGCTATCTAGTAGCATTTGATTATAGTTCTTGTGTAAAATGATTTTAAAAATAGAGTGGTTAGAAAAAAAAAATCTATTTTCATCTAAAATTCAGGTTACCTTGACCTGCTTCCTCTCTAGATGAATTTATGATAAATTTTTACGATAAATTTCTATTAAGATTTGTTTAGAAAATTAATTTAAAATATGACTTCTCTGAACTTTAACTAAAAACTGAAAATGAAATAAATCAAATCATTATATATTATAATACTAATTATTTTATTATTCACGTAATAATAAATGTAAATAATTCATAGAATGAGAGGTTTTTAATTACTATACATTTGCAACTCCATCTGTTCATATTAGTTCTTGATGTGGAAGCTATTTGTTATTAAAGCTATTTGTCATCTGATTGTGAATTAAAAATAACTTATTACAAAAAAAATATTAAATAAAAATAACTAACCTGTAGATGTTCATTTTTCATAGAAAACAATGTTTTCCATTCATCCAATAAATCATATTTTTCAATAGAAATTAATCGAGATATCAAATTTTGAGGATTCATTTTAAACAAAACTTTAATATCATACCAAGTATCATAAAAATTAATTTTGCATGCTTTGTTAATCTAAAATCCAAACTCTTTAGAATTAATAGAGTTCAATTTAAAATTTATTTTCTTTTTGCATCATTATGATATATGCATTTTATTGTACCATAAATGATATGATATTGATACCATGCATGATGCCACATTGTACCATTCATGATATGATATTAATACCATGCATAATATCATATTGTACCATATATGATATGATATTAACACCATGCATAATGCCATATTGTACCATACATGATATGAAGCATTGTGTATAATGGTTCATATCATGTATGTTAAATTTAATGATAAAATTTACATAATTTATTTAAAAATAAAATTTATGTCATTTATGATTCTATGATAAGCAATGCTATAATAATATATTTATTATTTCATACTTATTATTCCATAATTATTTCATACTTATTACTCCATAATCATTTCATAACAATCTTGAAGCATAATACTAATTCAATATTTTTTGCATTTATATTATGCTTAATAAAATTTGGATAAGTTGACAGACATAATAAGAACATGTTTTTAAAAAATGATTAAATATTTCAAAACTATTTACCTTTTCAAACCATTCAATTTCACTAAACTTCTTTTTAAGAACAACTTGCATATTTTTACACAACTTTTCACTTTTTAGCCATATTTTTAGCAAGTCTGTTGCATCTTTTGCAGATAATAACTTTATAGATGATTTTACTCTGTCAATTTGTTTTTCTGGCTTCTTTATAAGCAATAATAACCTCTTTAATTTGAACTGATGATCATTAATTTTAGAAATATTACTATTATCAGTGTATTTATTACCAATAAGTTCATTAAGTAAAACTTTGATTTCATATATTGCATTATATACAAGCGAATCAAATACATCAAATGAAAGTAAATTTAGTAGATCTAAATGTGAGTCAAACAGCCTGTGAACTTGCTTGGAAAAAGAACTGTACTCGATTAAAAAACTAAGTAAAACTGACCACATACTTTGTTTCATTGTCCATATTAAATCTTGTGAAAAATTAAATTTTAAAGAACTATACAAAGTTTCTTCTTGTATTACATCTGCACTGTAATTTGAAGAGATTGAGTTTAACAGCCTAGAATGTCGCGTAGTCATTTCAACAAAAAAACTATTAATAACAGCATAATTTGAAGATAATGAACTAAATCTAGATAGCTCATCTTCTAAAAACATTAATTTGGATTCAAGTGAAAATTGTTGCATGATGGAATACCATTTTAAATGAAGATGCATCATTGTTCCAGCAAGAGGACAAGTTTTTACAAGGTAATCATTAATTGAATTTGAAAATTTAAAATTTGATTCTGCTAAAAAATTAAAATCATTATTTGTCTGATATTGGTCACACTGGTTGACTTTGGGATCAACAATTATCTCATAATTATCTTGAAGAGCAGTAGTAAAATCAGTCGGAGTAGAAAAATGTTTAAACACATTCTGCAACTTTTCTAAAGAAATTAGATTATCACCTGAATGGAAAACGTATTGATCCATAAAATGAATGTGAGTAACCAGCGTTTTTGAAAGAAAAACCTTTTTTGAAAGAAAAAAAAAGTTAAAAAAATTGAATCAAAAAATATTTATAACAAGTAAAATGTATTCAAAAAAAAAAGAAAAAAAACAAATTACTTTTTTAAACTCAAATTTAACATGTGTGCTTAAGGACTTCTTAAGTAGATCCGAGAGGGTGCTTGGAGTTACAACCTAAAGTAAAAAAAAGAAAAAGAAATGTTTATAGATAATTATAACATTTTTTTTAAAAAAAAAACAACCTTTCCTAATATAAAATATTTTATGATGATATTTGATCCTTAACATAAGTAAAAAAGATTTTAAAAATAGCACATTTTATCATTCATTTAAAAATTTGGTTTATCCCAGCTAACCAGGATTTTATCAATAATAATAGTTAAAATTCAATACTTAGAATTACAAAATTACATGATCTTAACTGGCCCTGGTTTTATAATGCTACTTATAAAAATATATTTTAAAAATAACAACGGTTTTATTCATAAAAAAGATTTTAATATTTATATCCATATCGACATATGGATACAAATATTTATATTTATATCCATATGTCAATTTGGATACAAATACAAATATCCAACTGTCAATATGAATAAAAATATTTATATCCATATGCTAATATGAATATAAATATTTATATCCACATATATATATATATATATATATATATATATATATATATATATATATATATATATATATATATATATATATATATATATTTATATTTATGTACACATATCAATATAAATATTTATATTTATATCCATGTCGCATATGAATATAAATATCTATATTAATACCATATGTAAACATGGATATAAATATTTATATTCATATCCATATGTCAATATGGATATAAATATTTATGTTTATACCCATATGTCAATACGAATATAAATATTTTTATTCATATCCATATGTCAATATCGATATAAATAGTTATATTTATATCTATATGTCAATATGGATATAAATATTTATGTTTATATCCATATGTCAATATGAATATAAATATTTATATCCATATTGTATAATTTTTTGCAGAAGATCAAAAGTCAAATTTTTTTTTAAAAAGAAACAATATATTTAGATAATTATTTCGATATAAACTAGTATACAGGTAAATATCACTAGGTTGATTGACAACAACCCTACTAATTTGATTTACAACAATCCCACTAGGTTGATTGATAACAATCCCACTAGGTCAATTGATAAAAATTGACAAGGCCATATCAACTAGGTCAATCCCACTAGGTTGATTGACAACAATACAAGTAGGTTGATTGACAACTCAATACCACTAGATTAATTGACAAATCATTATAATAGAGTTAAACTCTTAAGTTAATTTTAAATTAACTTAGAATCTTAGATTCCAACATACTATAAAAAAAACTTCAAATATCTAATGACTAGTAAATGTAGATACCTTCTACAAGTAGCTACCTCCTACAAGTAGTTACCTACTACAAGAAGATGAATACACCATACACATAAACCATATAACAAACTAATTTATCAAGCATTTTAATTTAAATTCTAAAAATATTTCTTGCAAAAACTTTAAAATTTTAATAGGAATATCAAATCAGATCTTACTAAAAATGGAAAGTACAAATACCTGGATGTTTGGAGAAAAAATTGATCCATTTGAAAGTAAAAGCAAACTTGACAAGTCATCTGCAATAAATAAGTTTTGATAAAAGTAATAAAATAGAATAATAAAATATAGAGTAATAAAATATATAATATAAAAATATACTTAAAAGCAAAAAGTAATAAAAGTTATAAACAGTTCATAACTTTGGAATTAGAACATTTGTAATATACAGTCATCTTGAGCAGCTTAACATTTGTGCATACTAATATTATTAGATAAGGATTTGTAAGTAAACATTACTTAAGATGGTCTGCAACTTCAAACAACAATCTTTACTGTAATTTTACAGTTTAAATGACTTTAAGGACCACTCAGAAATTTTTTTTATAAAATACATCTCATGTTTTTAAACTGCTGAAACATAGATCAACCCGGTCATATTTTTAAAATCCGGAAAATTGTTTGGGTATAATATCCGGAAAAAATCCGGAACATAATTTCCTTTATTTTCTTCTTAATTTTGCTTTTAGCTGAGTTGTTTCCAATATTTTTTCTAAAATTTTCTTAATTTTTGCATGAGTGATAAGTGAAAAAGTTTAAAAAGTAAATATATTACAAAAATATACACCTAAACTTGTATGTATGGAAAACGTTTTGAATATCCGGAAAAACTACATGTTGAGAAAAATATCCGGAATTCCGGAAATATCTGGAAAAAGATAATCCCTGGAGTAAATTTTATTTTACTCTGTTATTATTTGATATATTTTAATGACAAATAACATCAAAGCTCAAAAAGACAAAATTAAAATTAAAACTTAAGACAAAATTATTGAACTGCAACTAATAGTCAAACAAAATAAATATGACCTAATACGATCTGCTCATTGAAATAAAGGAGTAGATCAAATTAAGATTTTTAAATGGTGTAATGGCAAGTGAAATAGCCAAGCAAAATAAAAGCTTAAAATGCAAAGAACCTGAAAAACTTTAGATTGAAATGAAATTACAAACAAAATTTTTTTAGTAGGTTGTATTCATTGCCTTGAGAAGCATTTGTCAATTGTTTCAATAACATTAAATGAAATAATTTGTACTCTTAAGATGGTCCTATACTATTAAAAAAAAAAAAATTCAATTTTTTTTTTTTTTACGTAATTTTATGCAAAATTTATACTAGTTTAAGATTTTTTAATAATTTTAACTGAATTCAGAACATAAGTTGGTTTTTAGTTCTAAATAAAGTGATTTTTTTTAAAAATGTTTTTCATAGTTACGCCCCTAGTAACGGCATTTTTAAAACCAAAAAAATTTTCTCTGATCTTTTTTACCAATTGTTAAAATGAATGTTTGAAAATAATACCACTAAATTTTTAAGTATAATTTGCTAATTTTCAAACTCATTTTTTGGCTATACTTTGCAGGAACAAAAGGATATTAACCTTGTGCTTCATTTAATTTGTTTGAATTTAGTAAATTGGTACTACAGTTAGAATTTTATTATGGGTCAAAGAAAGTCAAGTTCTTTTAAACCTTTAAAATTTTAAAGATATGAATTTATCTTATTTGCTAAAAGACTTTATTATTTTGGAAGAAACAATATGTTTGTATTCAGTTTTCCCAGAATGTAATAAAAATGTAATGTAATATGTATAATGAATGTAATATGTACTCAAAAATTAATAACAGAAAAGAAAGGATGGGCAAATAAATTGAGACTTTCCTGTACTTTGTGTCAATGGAGTAAAAATATTTTTACCTCGAAAAAGTATGTTACTCTATCATGTAAGTTGATTAATGCAAACAATTTTTAGTTTATTGATTAAATGTTTGCATGGAATGACCCAAAATGTCAATGAGTGACTTAATGCAATGCTTTGGTCTCGATGCCTTAAAAGTCAATATTGCAATCAAAAAATAATTAAAATTGGTGTTTGTTCAGCAATTATTCATTTTAATGATGTTTTTAATGGGCTTCATAATGCATTTAAACTCTTAAACATTATTCCTCAAGCTTCATTTTGTTCATAGTCCAAAACAAGACTAATTAGAATTAAAAAAAAGCGAAGAAAGAAAGAAATCAATTAGTTCCTGTAAAAAGCAAAGAAAAGTTTTAAGAGCTAAAAGATTTTATTGATGAACAGACGAATACAAATGACTGTGTTTTTTTCTATTTAGTTTCTTATTTTTGTTTTTGTCAGTTTTTGATTTTTGCCTATTTTTAGTCACCATTTCTAGAATATAATTTCATAAACTTTACAATTTGATCTAAAAATTTCTTAAGTTATTTGTTTAGGTTTGCTCTACAACCTGAACTAAAATAGAAGTTTTTTACTTTGTATTTTATGAAATTTAGGTCTTAGAACTAACATAACTATAGTCAATTTTTAATATAAATGGACTTTTATCTATAAAATATAAACTACTCAATAAATTTTTTTTCTTTTCTTATATCTGTGCATCCTATTATATGCAGTAAAAAAAAAAAAGTTAAATGCTAAAAAAAATCTATTTCTTGCTCACTGGAAAAACTCAACCACCAACAAATAAAAAAACTGCACTTGACCACCAACAAAAAAAAACTGCACTTAACCACCAACAAACAAAAAACTGCATTCAACCACCAATAAATAAAATCTGCACTCAACCACCAACAAATAAATTAACTTAATCATCCAGCTTTGTGAATATAATGAAGTTTTAATCCAAAAGCTTGATATAGTTGAAATACATTAAAGTCACTCCTAGACATTTCAAAACATAGTAAAAATTATATCTCTTACTTTTCTAGAATATATCAACAATCCAACAACAACAAGAAAAGAGATAAACTTATTTAAAATAACAGTTAATATCACAAATGAAAGAATCAAACAGCTCAACACACTTTTTTAAAATGGTGTCAAGAACTTGTGAAATATTCATTAACTAAATTGAGAGAAGGTAAAAAAATGTAATGTTTAAAAAAATTAAAATTACTTTAAAAATATAAATCATATATTGATTATAAATATAAATTATAATGCGATGTGCAATTGACTGTTGGAACTCAAAGGAACTAAAACTATTTGGGAACATACCAAAAGGATTTATAGTTGGCATCAGAACCAACACATTACCTACATTCTATATGAGAACCTATACATACATTTATCAAACACTTAAATATGAAAATAGCTTTAATAAAATTAACATTATTTTACCTTGAGAAGGAAATAATTGCTTATAAATATCAAAAGCAGTATAAACTTGATCACCAACTTGATATGCAAAAGAAGTTAATATCGCTAAAAGAGAATTAGATTGACAAAGCAAAAACAATATTTCATTTAGTGGTATCTTTTGTGGAATAGAAAACTTCCCAGAAACAATGAGCAAAACACCATGAAGCAGCAATAAATTATACAAGTTAATAAAAAAAACTTTTTTTTCTATGCTTGTTTCAAGCTTTTTAATATCTACTTTAATTAGATCTTGAGCATATGATTGAGTGTATTGACATATTTCAGAAGCAGTTAAAGGAGGAGAATTCATATCTAAAATGAAAATTATTAACTTATCAATGAAGTTGTAATAAAATTGTAAATAAATTTATATAGTTTCTGTATAAATAGTATATAATATTACTAGATAACATTTCCAAAAAATGATTTAGCAAGCCTTCGGTAATAAATAAAGGATCTTCTGTTTTTTGAAGCAGTAAATAATCTTGAGTACTATTTAAAATTACTTTTTCTTTAAATAATTCATTATAACTAAAATGTAAACTTTTTGATATCAAAGGTACTGAAAAACCACAACCACTAGCTATGACTTTAACAAGATTGATGTGAAACCTTTTTGCAAAGCTTTCAAGATTGTTAGGCAATACCTCAGACTTGAATAATAATGCTCCAAGTATCTTCACAATATCATTATTGAATACTGAAAATGGATCTTCATTATTTCTAAAGGATTTATTTTTATCTGATTGCAAGGCTGCTAATTTTTCAACATACTTAAACAAAGATCGAAAGTAATCAGTTGCATGAGGAACATTCCAATACTGAGTGATAACTTGATGAAATTCTTTGGAAAATGATGTTAAACTACTTCTATCTTGACCCTGTTTAATGTGATTGGACAGATTATGAAAACTATTTATGTGATTGGATATATTTGAAAATAACTTCATCCCTTGTGTTATGAGGAAGTTCAACAAGGATACTTTTTCAACATCCATAAATAAAGGAAAATGTAAAACAAAAGAAGATATTCCCAAAGGTTTTATCTGTCCAAGGTACTCAAAAAAATCCATTTCCTTTAAAGAAGCAGCATTGAGTAAACATTTAAGACCATTAATTTTATCAAGCATTTGATAATATAAATGTTGATCAGAAGAGTGAACAGCTAGAAAACATATTATATAAGTAGATTAAGTCTTTTATCATATATAAATTGCTGAAATTAAAAAATATATATATAATATAATTAAATAAAAAAGAAAAAAGAAAAAGAGATTTAGTAACAAGTTTATTTTTTGTTTTTAACTTTGTTAAAACTCTAATTTTTTTATATATATAAAAAAAAAAAATTATTAAAAAATAGAATAATGAAAAAATAATAATAACAATAACAATAAAACAAAATAAAAGCAAAATATTAAAACTTTTTCTTACTAGTATCACACTTAGGTTCGATGATCTCAAAAATACTTTTACATACGTTAAACACCAAAGGAGAATGAAACATTAAATCCACACATACTGCAAGGGAGGATAACAAACTTGAAAATGAGTGGTTGAAAAATGAATGACCAAGTAATTGATTTATCATTTGTATATTGTCAAATGACGTTTTTCCAGCAGAGGCAACAGATCTTACATGATCAAGAGTTGATCCCATTTTCTTGCTTGTGTCAGGCTGTGAAATTTGAAGTAGGTTTTTAGATACATTAGAAAATTCTTCGATAAAATTAACTTCATCAACACAGCTATCATCTAAAATTATGTTTAAAAAATGTTAAAAAAAGAAAGAAAAAGAAAGAAAAAAGGATAAATCGTTAATCAAAGCAAAAAAAAAAAAAACAACTAAAAAAATATTACCTTTAAGGTCAAACATTTTAATAACTTGTTTAGCTTGAAATGTCTCACGTTTCTGCAGAGTTAAATGGACTAAGGATGCTGGTGATGCTAGCATTTGTCCAACAATGTGATTTTTAAAAGAATTAGGTAGCAAATTTTGAAAAGCTAGATGTTTTATAAAAATAATAATTAGTGATTAAAAAAAGGTTTTTTAAAATTGATTTTGACTTTTTTAAACTAGTATTTAAATAGGCAGAGATCTAACTTACTAGGTTCTATACATTTTTAAAACCTAACTTACTAGGTTCTACACATTTTTAAAACCCAACTTACTAGGTTCTATACATTTTTAAAACTAATTTTGTAATATATTTTAAACCAACTTACTAGGTTCTATACACTTTTAAAAATAATTTTATAATATATTTTAAACTTACCATAGTTTTAAATCAATTTCATGAAGCTATATTAGTAGAATCCAACAATTTCATATTTATAAGAAATCAAATTGAAGATAAAACTGATATTTTGTTTAAATAAGTTTAAACAAAAGACTAGTCTTTAGTATTTTTTGACATAAGATGACATACCATATACAAATTAACACATAAAACACAACAAATAAAATCACACAATTCCCATAACATAAGACACAAAATGACTTATAACACATAAAATGACACATGACACAAATATTGTGATAAGTAATTTTAAACATATTAAACAATATTGTAATAATGACATTAAATTATATTAATTATGCATAATTACATGATTTTGAAGCTGATTGGTTAAACCCAGATGCAATTTCCAGTCTCCATTGTGCCTCGCGGCTATACTGTAAAAGTCGAGAAAGACGATATCGCAATTTATTTTCTTTTTCATCTACTGGAAAATAAATACATATAAAAATATTTACATAGAGTTTATCCTCTAATATTATTTTATTTAAATTAACAGATAAAAACTAAACAATTGACAACTGAATGACAATGAACTGAAAATGTGAAAATTTTGAAAAAAAATTTTATTAATGATAATATTGTTAAATTGTCACACAAATAATCTTTATTAATCTTTTGAGTTTTCTGAAGTTTTACTGAAATAAAATGATTTTTTATAACCTTTTATTTATATCCTGGATGAGTAATAGTAAATTGATTTTTTATAACTTTTTATTTTTTGTAACCTTTTATATTTACTTATGTATAGTAAAGTTATGGAGTTATAGTAAAGTGATTTTTTATAACCTTTTATTTATATCCTGGATGAGTGATTGCCAAGTAATTTTTGTAACCTTTTGTTCTGGAAGATTGTAAATAAATAGATTTAGTATGAAATATTATTAATTAATTCATAAATAATGATGATATATCATTATTCTAGGTTTATATTTTTTATCGGTTTTGGGTGAAAATAAATTTTGTTTTAACTCTAATTTACTTTTAACATGGCTGCAAGCAATCACTATTAAGTTGGAAGTTATTAGAAAACAAAGAATAGAGTTAAAGAGCAAGAAAATATTGACAGAAAACTTGAAAAGTTATAGGTTGCATGAGTCAGGAAAACATGAAGGTGGGAGAAAGTTCTAAACTAAGCAAATAAAAATTTTAGAACATGCAGGGACAGATAAAGTAAAAGGATGAGACTTTGCTGAATGACAAGTCAAGCAAATATGAGTTTTAGTTTATGGAACTAGATATGATAGCTCCTTTGAAACTAGATGATAGTTCCTTTGAGCATGGTCAGTATTTGTATAAACATGACCAGTGTTGGTAGAAAAAGAGAAAGAAATGCAACTTTACAGCAATGGGAGAGAGACTCAAGCTTAGCATATAAAGCAGGTCCAATTATGTTTACAGAATTTCTCCTAACAGTTTTACGTATTTAACAAGTGACATTTGACAGAACAATACTATTAATAGTAATAATAAGTTTTTCTCTAAGTTTACAGAATGTTTTTCTCTGAAAAAAAGGAAAAAAAGAAGAGAAAGAGTAAAAATATCACAACAGTGACAAACAAAAGATTTGTGGAGGTAAAAAATGAAATCAGGACTAAGATAATGGCAAGCATGACAAAGAGAAGCATCCTAATCAGATGTTAACTTTGAAATCATTTGGTTTCTTTAAGAGGACAGTAGTGAACAATAATCCAAGAAGACGTAAAAAAAAAGAAGTAAAGTGAAGAGGGTTGCCATTCATTAATATAGGAATGTTGACAGTAATGTGATTGTTGTTTGCAGTAAATAACTAAGTTTTATTGGAGTAAAAATTCACAAGTCACTGCAAACTCCAATACAGAAGTAAAATCAGATTCAAGATCGGCTGAAGACTTAATATCAAGACTGGAGCATAAAGTTGAGTTGTTAGCAAATAAAGCCAATTTAGATGTAAGATTGTAAGAAAGATTGTAATTGTAGATAAGAAACAATACAGGAGCATAGATATAATATTGGGGTTGTAACCCATTTTCAACCCTTAAAGTTACTGGAAATGGAGAGGAGTGGAGGCTTTTGAGAATGACTTAAATGCGGTTAGAAAGAAATTATTTAATAATCTCAAAACCTTTATATAAAAAAACTAATAATAGAGAGACTAATCTTAGGATAGTTGATGAGATCAGTGTGTTTTCTAGAGTTTTTAAAAAGTGGAACCACTTGTTTTTGTAATAGCTTAGTGAGAATTGAATAGAGTTCTGGAGAATACATTTGTAAGACTATGACAAAAATATTTAATTGTTTTTAAGAGTTTAATTGGAAATTGACTTAAGCATCAGAAGCTGAAGTGATTTGGATTTTTAAAATGGGTTAATTTGTTTAACTTGGCATCAGACAGGACCTTTTCACATTGACTTCTTGCAATAATGAAAAGAAATTTATTCTCAAGAGAGGTGTTCTTGTAAAAAATATGAAAAAAATGATTATATATTGCCAACATCTAACAGTTTAAGTTTAAATAAAATTAAAGTTAAAAATAAAAGAAATTTAAATTTTTTTTAGGATATATTCAAAGACCTAAAAAATGAATACACAAACAAAAGGCCTAAAAAATGAATATACAAACAAAAGACCTAAAAAATAATTTACAGATTGAAAAGTAAAGATTGTAAAGAAAAATTAAAAACAAACCTTCACTTTTGTACACTATCTTTGATTTTGCAGATAGCAAACACTCACTAACAAGTTGAAGAATTTTTTCTACAGTATTTTGCTCACAAAGAAATGTTTTAGATGAACCAATCAAACCCAATATGTTACTGAACTTCATCTTTAAACTTTCTTGCTTCACCTCTGATTTTTTATAAGATTCATTAGTATTTAATAATAAAGGTGTTCTACTGGGAAAATTGTTATTTGTCATACTAAAAGAATTATTACCACAAATATTTGGTGAATCTAGACTCGGGGATGAACTATTAAGTGTAAGCTCATGAGGGCTTTCACAATCATTTTTCTTGGGATCTTTTAGATCTTCAGTTCTTAAAAATAAAAGAGAGAAAATATTTTCAAGAAGTTCAATGCGCAATTCCAAAGGCTCTATTTTTTCAACATCAGCCTTAAGTTTATAAAAGTAATCACAAACTAAATCAACTGAATAAGGCAAAATAACACCATTTTTGTCCTTTAAAACACCGGTAAAAGGGGCCATGATAATGTTTAACAACTGCTTGATTATAGTAAAACTGCAATAAATATTAATTTCTTCTGACTGCATTGATCCATCAAATCCATCAACAGGTTGCATTTGCAAGATGTCTATAATACCATCAAACTTCATTTCTTTTAACAGATTAGTTTCATTGAGAACAAATAAAGCACAACTCAATTCTTTTTGGCAAAGCGCCAATTTAAATATAGAAGAGTCTAGTTTATTTCCAAGTATTTCACTATAAAAAAATAAGTATTACAACAATAATTAAATACAAAAAATAATAACAGATGATAAAGCAGAAAAATTTATAAAAATAAAATCAAGAAAGAAAATAATGAATAAGAAAATCATGATTTAAAAAAAAAAAACTTATTTATAATATAAATAAAAATAAATTTTATGAAAAAAAAAACAGAAATATTAAATATACATAAATATAATGAATATTTTTTTTCAACAAAACAATAAAAAAAACTTATTTTTTTAATATTATTAATTTTAAATCTTAATATTTTTTTAATTTCTAAAATAATTAATTTATCAGAAAAACTCTCCTTTTTTTGTTGTTACTTTTTTTAGGAATTTGTGATACTTTTGTATAACTTATATTGTTTCTTGAATTTCAAAGACTTTTTCTATTAACATATTAACATTTAACAGTTTTACGTATTTAACAAGTGACATTTGACAGAACAATACTATTAATAGAACAACCAATAACCAAATAATAAAATAGGCTTGACTATTTTTCAAAATTTTTTATATTTGACAAAACCTTTTTTAATAACCAAATTATAATATAGATTTTAATATATTTTAAGTCTATTATAAGCATATATGAGTGAATCTGTGCCAATCTTATATATTATTATTGAACTTAATAGGATGGCGGACAACAGGGGTTTTGTAAAAAAAAAAACTCTTTTAGAAAAAAAGTGGAAGGTGGGGGGCACATGCCCCCAACGTCATCTCTTTAATAATACTGAACTTAATAGTAGTAGTGCGCTTTCGAGCCTGTTTGACACGATACTCTTGGCAACCATTGCGTCCGAGGTAGTGACGAGAAAGAGTCTCACCTTTGCTTTATAAGAAAACGTGAGCAAACGTGAAACTTATATCGTAAGTACCTAGACTTCATGTCATGTAATGTTAAAACATGCTTAAACATATATCAAGTTCTACAGTTTGATTTTCACTTAAGAACTGCATTTCGTCAACCTCAGCTTGATTTCTAATCTTTTGCATTTATATCCGTTAAAAACAATTTTTATATAATTTTGAATCTTTTATACTTGATGTATCAGCTTAGACGAGTGGCTAGCGCGCTGGGCTTCAGAACATATCTGCCATGGTTCGAGTCCTACCGTTGGCGACTACTGTTTTAATTTTTTTTAGATTTTTTTAAAAACAAATTCAAATACTTATAAAGTTTTATAGATATTGTATATAGATTCATGTTGTGTAATGTTAAAACATGCTTAAACATATATCAAGTTCTACACTTTGATTTTCACTTAAGAACTGCATTTTGTCAACATCAGCTTGATTTCTAATCTTTTGCATCTATATCCGTTAAAAACAATTTTTATATAATTTTGAATCTTTATTACTTAATGCGTCAGCGTAGTCGAGTGGTTAGCGCGCTGGGCTTCGGAACATAGCTGCCGTGGTTCGAGTCCTACCGTACTGTTTTAATTTTTTTTAGATTTTTTTAAATACAAATTCAAATACTTATAAAGTTTTATAGATATTGTATATAGACAACATATGTAAAGATATTAATCAAAAGTTTGATCCTCGCATTTTGACACAGAACCAACTTCGCTAATGAGAGAAAAAAAATCGTTCACAAATTTCAAAATTTTGTTTTTTTGTGAAGTCTTTTAACACTTAGTTTCCAACTTTCTTGACATATTCCAAGTCTTTTTGAGAAAAAACTTTGTTGATCAAATATACAAAAACAGAAATTCAGCTTTTTTGTATATGATAAATATCGCTGTGGTACAAAGTGCCAACCTAGGTTTTTTAAACAAAATGCCAATTGAGTTTTACTTCGACGCGGTTTTAATCACCACGAGGCTTAGTTAAATGCTTAGTTAAATACTTAAAAAAAGATAAAATTTAAGGCTTAGAAAAAGAATTTTTTACAAATTTTTTCTTACATCTCTTTAATCCTTGACTTTTGGATTTAGATTTATACATTGATAGTAACATTATCATATTATTATTTTTAGATTATTACATTGTTTGATATTTTTTTTAGAATTTAGATAAAAGCGACAAAAAAAGCGTCTCCCCCCTATCCTTTAGGATTTTAGAGTCACCATTAAATTTTGACATAAGTTGCAAGAAGTGTCTCGCAAATGCCATTTATGTTAAAGTTAGTGTTTACGCAATCAATAAGTTTATTCTTTGTATCTAGGACATTAAAAGTTATCATTTAGATGTTTTCATTTGATTGAGATTTTCTTGCGTTATAAACCGGATAATAGTTCTTATGAACTGTAAGCATGCGGATAAAGTGTGCATCAATATCCTAAAGACCCGTATTTTACGGGTCATGACAGCTAGTCAGCCCTGAATAGTGCTGTTAGTAGTGCCCATTTCAAGGTGTTTGACACAGAAATCTTGGCAGCCATTGCAACTAAGGCAATCACAAAAAAGATTTACAGCATTATAAGAAAATGTGAACAAAAGTGTATGCAAATATCTAACTTATGTAAATTTCAAACTATGAAAAGTGCATTGCGGCAATATCTCCGTAATTTTAATTTATAACATTTATTTGAAGTTTTCTAAAGACTTTTGTTTATCAAATAATACTAAAACCATGCTGTACAATACATCCAAATGGCTGAAGTGGTTAGCTTGCAGCATTTCTGATGTAAAGCGCTGTGGTTCAAATCCCACCATCTGCATTTATTTTCAATTCTTTCCAATATTTTAAAATACAAAGTAAAACATATTTGAAGTTCTATAGATATTATATACATAACATATATAAAGATATTGTATACTATAACAAACGAAAGAAAAAGAATTTTTAAAAAAGCTCATTTGCCATATTATGAAATCATTTAATTATTAAATAGTGCTAAAACTTTATTGAACTACACACCTTAGTGGCCAAAGTGGTAAGCTTGCAGCATTTCTGAAGCGCATTTCCGAGGTTTAAATCCAACCAATGGCACCTTTATTATTATTTTTTTAAATCTTTTTCAATTTTTCAAAGTAAAAAATAAAACTTGTATGAAGTTTTCTAGATATTATATACATAACATATATAAAGATATTATATACTATAACAAAACGAAAGAAAGAGATTTTTAAAAAACTTGCACATATAACATGGTAGAGGTAATTAAATGATTTTAAATGTGCTCTCTATTTTAGCTCTAGTAATTAGTCCTAATAAGTTTTGGATGGTCTGAAACTTAAAAAAATTAATATACCTGTCCTGCTACTCCAGAAAGTGCTGATGTTGAGGTAACAAAAAAAAAAAAAAAAAAAAAAAAAGCCTGTAGCTAGCAAAAACATTAAAGTTTTATTTTAACACTAAAAAGTCTTTTTTGCTGTATATATATATATATATATATATATATATATATATATATATATATATTTTTTTTTTTTTTTCTACAAATCTATACAACCAGATTGAAAAAATTTAAAATGTATTGTGTTAAGGAATGGATTTGAACTCTTTCAAAACAACACTGATGCGCTATCATAGGTGTTGTTTTGTCATTATAAACCACTGAGCTATCGAAGTTATGCATGTAAGAGTAAAACAAACTATTTTATGAATCTCTTATAAGCTATACCTATACAGAAAAGGTGCGTATATTAGTTTTTTTTTAATGCATTGTTTTTCTAGTGTTGCCTAAAAAATATTGAATAAGTATAGAAATGATGAGTATGAAATAGATAAGTATAGAAATGATTGATTTGGTGAAGACCCATATTTTACTGACCCAGAGAGCTAGGATATATATATAAGAAAAAAGTATAGAAAAGGTTGGTCTGGAATAGACTTACAAAGACCCTTTTTGTAATAATTGAGCCATAATATAACATGATTTTACATGATGTAAAATCAGTAGTTAACTTTATCATCCTTTAATATGCAAGCATTTTTTTTTTTTACTTTTTTTTTTTTACATTTTATGAATAGCCACTCATTATTTTTTGGTAAGTCCGGTTCCAACAGCTTCTGTGCTTGCTCTGACATTGGTTTGTCTGCTACTAACTCAATATTTTCTTCTAATAGTGGAAATAAACTCTATTACATTACTGATGGCAGAATATGTTCATTTCAAATAATTTCAAATTTTAAAATTTTATATTAAAGATATAACACAGATGTTTTTGGTCCACTCAATACATAGTACTTTTTTGGGTAAAAACATTTTATTAATTCAGTAACAATGGTAGTTCTGCAATATTTATCAGCAGTGCATTTGTCAGGTTTGGTCATTTTTTAAAATTGTGGATAGACTGATGACACTGAAGGATATTTCTGACCAGGTGACAAAATTGTTACCTGTTTCAATGGTTTCTGATTCATTATAATGACTGGCTTGCACAAGGTATTATATTGATTTTGTTTTTTGCATGGACAACAATGTTCATTTTGCATGGACAATGGTTACCTGTTATTCAATCATGCTACTCAGGCAGTAAACAACAAGAAATATAGCTTTAATAATTCTAACATATTCTATAAAATATAAAAGTATTAACTTGAGGAAAAACCAACTATATGAACTAAATACTAGCAATTCACATTCAACTTTAAAAAAAAAGGTAATTTAATTTTTTATTAATAAGTTAATAGTTTTTTAATAGTTAATAGTTTTTATTTCTGTAATCCTTTTCTTCATCATCATCACCATCATCATCATCATCATCATCATCATCATCATCATCATCATCATCATCATCATCATCATCATCATCATCATCATCATCATCATCATCATCATCATCATCATCATCATCATCATCATCATCATCATCATCATCATCATCATCATCATCATCATCATCGTCAGTTAATTAAACATGGCTGTTCTTTTTTTAGATCTTAGCATTGATGGCTATTATCTTTTGATACACATACACTTTATAGATTGGCTTGGCTGTATATTTATACATCAATTAACTTATTTGTAAAGAAAAAAGGTTATCACCTTTTCACTTTACATTACTCATATATATATATATATATATATA